AGAATGCTGATAGGAGGGCAGAGCAGATTGACTGGGAAATGAGCTCATCAGGCTGCCGCTTCTTTAGTACTGTCCACTCACCGGCTGGGGGGATGGACGAGGCCTGTAAGTGAAAAGCAAAACTCCAGCAGGGAAAAAAATCAGGCCTCCTGCCCTGCGGCCTGTGCTGTGTTACTTCCAAGCGAGATCTGGTTCCCGGGCCCGGCTTGTATTTTGGCGCAGGTGGAGAAATTCCTGTAACATTAAACATGCTCCCCAGCGATTTACGGGGCTGGTGTATGTAACGCGCGCTGTGCTCGCTGTGAGTAGCCCATCCCCCCTTTCCTCGTCCTTCTCTCTCCGGAACCTCCGAATACTGAAAAGTGAAGCTTGTTGTGGTACTCCCTTTCCCCACCCCCCCCACTACCACCGCCACCACCACCGGCGGTCACAGATTTCTCTCCGGCAGAGGCCGCGGCAGCGGGGAGGGGGCATAGGGGGATAATTGGCGCAATCAGGAGGTCTGCCGCAGGATCGGATCATCATCATGAACAGCCATCTTTTATTACCAGCAAAACGCAAACATTTTCCTACAATTAGCCGCCTCCCTGTAACGAGCTCGGCGGCCTCGTCCTAATTATCCCCCCATTAAAGTCATTTCCTGTCCCGGGCCCCGCCATGTGATGGACGGCCCGCGAGACTACGCCACGGCATGTGCAGGCGCTGTCCTGTCCTGGAGCGCCGCTTTCACTAGGTACTTGTTTTGAATGATCGCTATTTTGTTTTTAGTGTCTGTTTCTCTCACTGTTTTTATTGCTGCTCCGTGTTTTTATGAGTATATATCATATAACACATGGGGTAGGTCCTCCCAGCTGCGGTGCTTCTGTCTCTGGGAGCCATGACTGTGGGAGTCAGAGTCTTGTAATGCCCTATGGCAGCGATGGCCAAACTGCGTCCCTCCAGCTGTGGTGGAACTACGAATCCCATAAGGCTTTGCAAGATTCTCACAGACACGGGATTTGTAGCTTCACCACAGCTGGAGGGTGCTTCTGTCTCTGGGAGCCATGACTGTGGGAGTCAGAGTCTTGTAATGCCCTATGGCAGCGATGGCCAAACTGCGTCCCTCCAGCTGTGGTGGAACTACGAATCCCATAAGGCTTTGCAAGATTCTCACAGACACGGGATTTGTAGCTTCACCACAGCTGGAGGGACACAGTTGGGCCATCCCTGCCCTATGGGATTTGTAGTTACAGCTGATTGCTGTTGTGTGTTATACTATGGGTTGGACTTCTCTAGATTTAGGCCCAAGCCCGACCCTCTGCAACTGAATCCCATCTAGTGATGTCCGGTGCTAGGTAGGACTAGGATGAAGAAGAAGTCTAGTGATGTTGGGTTCTCAGCAGGACCAGGTTACAGAAGGCATCTAGTGATGTCTGGTGCTAGGTAGGACTAGGTTACAGAAGGCATCTAGTGATG